TCTCTTATGAAACTTGGCCACACCGTATTTCGTAGTATCTAAACTAAACCGAACACAATCTTTGGTCCCAAATTTCCGAACGGTAAAACTACTATAAAAAAACATTAATTTAGGATATCCATACAGGACATACATACATACATTCATACGTACATAAAACGTAGGCACACCTATGTACATACATACATAAGTTCATAAAAAAGACATTTGAAATTGGTGGTCCTCATTTGTCCAATATTCGTCACATTTCTTGCTTCATTTTCATTTTCTTTTTCTAGCTACCTGTACGCTTCTACCTGTAAAATATTGATTTGGCCATCTTGTTTTTATTGGTTTAGGAATCGACCATCTGAGGGCGGAGTCTCTCACACTTTCTATGGTTTTAGGAATAAGATTTATGGAAAATTCCTAATGGAACACCCTGTATGTGGGTTGTGTGTGTAAGCACCAGCTCAAAAAAAATAACCCCGAAATTTCCGAGCCAAAAAGTGCGTGCGCCTCGTCATCCGTCTGCTTACTCCTCTTCTCTTCTCTTTCCTTTCCTTTCACTCCTCTTCTCTGTTCGCCACCCCCTACCATTATCCTATTTCCTTGTGGTGGCTGCCACAAAGGACAAATGAAATTTCAGCATGGACATGCTGTCTCGCTCACTTTCACTTGGCGCCACAAAGGATACAGGAGGAAACGGGACAAAGTGGGAGGGAACTTGCTTCCCTAAACAAAACTTGCAAATAAAATGGAATTTATGTTTTAAAAATAACTTCGAAAAACAACAAAAAACCAATAAAAAATTTGCTATTTATGTATGTGTATGTACATATGTACATATATATTGTTTAATTTTAATATTTTTTACTTGCATAATAATAATAATTAATAATTATAATGTATGTATCTACATATGTACTACTGTCTAGAAATGGGCATTTGATTTATAAGTTTTTTAAGGATTCTTGAAAGTTTTCTGATCGTTTTTGTTGTTCATTTCAAGTGGACCATATCCCGTTCGCTAGATGGGGATATGTATGTCTATAGGGCGAATGGTGACTCCATTTCGCTTATGTAAGCAGAGCAGCGTGAATCAGACCCACATTGCAACTCCAAAAAGGGGCGGAAAAGGGATTCTGCCACAGTCCTGGACCGCTCTTCCTCTTCCCCTCCATCTCATCATCATCATCCTACGACAAGTGCTCTACAAAATGGAGTTTGGGTTATTTTTGGCAACGAAATGAAATTACGACGCCCTCCGTCGAGGAAAAACACAACTCTCTCCCGTTTTGTCTGTTTTTATGTCTATATATTTTGATATGTACTATGTTTACCGTTATGTACGATGCTTCCCTGGTTTGAGGTTGAGTTGGGTTGCCATGGCAGTTGGATTTCAAACCCTATTTTGGGTTTCAAAGTTGCTTCCGATTGGGTAAATGCGGGAGTATGAGTAATTACAAATAATACTGCTCAGTCAGAGGAGCGGAGTGGCAAGGAGGGCTTCTCGGATGGAGGAGTACGGGTGGGTGTCGAACACATCTGCCCAAAACACACCCTCAGGACTTATAAAGCGGAGGAAAGCGAAAAACACAGCAGAGGCCTGGGCAAATGGATGGCCGAATCGTGGGCGGAGGTAGGGGATTGTCTATCCAGCCGAACGAAGGAGTATCTTGCAGATACTCTTGCGCCACCGCAAAGTTGCTTCCAAGAACACGCTTTCACACCCTGGCTAGAAACCAAACAGGAAGCCAAGAAACACGCAGAAAGTTGGCAAGAACACGCAAAGTCATCACTTCACTATTGGAAGTTTATTCGATTAATGCTTTTTCGCATAAATTAGGAAACTTAAACTCAAAAGTGGAAATTCTTTGGAAAAAATTGTAAACAATTTTGTTTGCAAGTGTCCCGATTTTAAAACTATTAAAAATTCCTTCTTAAGGAGACCTGGCAACTCTTTTTGGCCCGAGGGATCCCATCGTTGCCATTAATTATGCAAATTTAACTTGATGCGTGTCGCCGAAGAATTATGAGCTCAGCTTTGCCCGAGGCTTCCAGACTCTCTCCTCCTCATCTCTTCTTTTCCTCCGCTCTCTCTTCCTCCCCTCTTTCCCCTTTTTAGCACATGCCGTCAGGTTTTCTTCTCCTTCTCCTTCTTTTCTTATTATTATTATTTTTTCGTTATGCATTGGTCATTAAAATTAGGTCAGAGCCAAATGGAACACAAAAGCGAAATCCTTGAGAATTATAAAGCAACGATGACAAGAACAACAAACTAGTTCAGTTCTCTTTTGTTCTCTTTCCGTGCTTTCCTCTCCTTCCTCTTCCTCTTCCTTCGATCCTTTTAGCTAGAACAACAAACAACCCATATACGATCTTATTACGCAATGGCTGCCGATCTGCCTACCTGACTGACTTAATTATTATATCAGAACCCCTTTTCTTCCTCTTTCCTTCTCCTGGCAGGTCGAAACACAAAAAAAATGGAAACTGCGCAGTTTGACTCGAAAAAGAAGTGGAATTGGACCTTGACTTTGCACCACAGATCTTCGAAGAATAGGGCCAGGATCCTGCGAGTCCTATAAGAAGTCCTCTTCTGGTTCTGGAACCCCCTGCTCCTCCCCCTTTTTCACTTTTCATTCCACACGTGCCCTTGTTTTGCCGTTTCTACCGCTTCTTCTTCTTCCTTTTTCGCATACTTTTTTGCAACACGCGCAGCGGGAATTTTTATATAAAAAGGGAGCCAACAAGGAGGGAAAGGGAAGGAAGGAATACATAAAAGCTTGCGAGGATACAATCAAAATGAATAGAGGACTGTTTCGGCTAAGCTATTGCAATTGATACCCTATATAGTTTGTGTGATAATAAAGGAAATTTTAATTGGCAAGTCGAAATAAAAAAACTTCAACCAATCTTAAAAAAAGAGATCTAAAATTTTAATGGTTTGTAAATATGTACATATGTATATTGATAAGATACTAATGTATTGTGATTGTTCAGTTTTGCAGGGTGCACTCAATTCGTTTTAATTTATTTTTCTGCATTCCCTCTCTTCTGCTTGTGTATTTTTTAATGCCTCTTTATAACCGGCATTCGCATGGCATTGTTATACCCTTGCAGAGCAAAAGGGTATTATAATTTCAGTCAGAAGTTTGCAACGCAGTGAAGGAGACACCTCAGACCCCATAAAGTATATATATTCTTGATCAGCATCACGAGCAGAATCGAAATATGTATGTACGTCTGTCCGTCTGTCCGTCTGTCCGTCTGTCTGTCTGTCTGTCCGTCTGTCCGTCTGTCCGTCTGTCCTCCTGTCGGTTTCTATGTAAACTAGTCTCTCAGTTTTAAAGCTATCTCGCTGAAACTTTCCCAAAAGTTGTGTAGTTGTTGCACGCAGTATATAAGTCGGAATGGGCCGGATCGGCCGACTATATCGGATAGCTCCAATACAAGAGAATGAAATAAAAAATTCTCACTCTATTGTTTTTCATCAGATCGACTTGAATTCTTCAAGATGGCGTTTTCTAACTGTTATTGAATTTCGGATTAAATTTGATCAAAATCGGATAACTCTATCATATAGCTGCCATAGGAGGGATCGAAAATTATATATAGAATTAATGGAAATAAATTGATAACATCGTTGTTTTTCATCAGACAAGTATGATTTTTGGAATATAGAGTGTTCTTACGACTCTTGAATTACGAGTTAAATTTGATCAAAATCGGACAACTATATCGTATAGCTCCCATATGATCTATAGTCAAAAATATGGAAAATGAATAGAAAAATCGTCTTAGCTTCGATGTTGTCTAGCCTTTATGCGTTTTGTTCGACATATTTGATGACTGCAAGGGTATATAAGCTTCGGCTTGCCGAAGCTAGCTTCCTTTCTTGTTTTTGTACATATGTACATATGCTTGTGCGTATATGTACGTTTGCCAAGATATAGGGGATTATATGCAAACATACATATGTATGTACATATATAAAATCGTAATCAAAAAGTGCGAAAGAGAAAGATAGTTCCGTCAAAGAGGGACGGCAAACAGTTATTTCGATTCCACTTCCACTGGAATTAAGAGATTAGCCGAGGAAAGCAAAAGTGCGCGAATTCCCCAAACTCGGCAACCCTGTTATCGTTTTGTTTACTTTGCCGGTTTCTTGCCGAACACACACATGGAAGGCGAAGCGAACTTGCTCGACGTTTTCATTGGAACTGCAGTCGAACATGTTGTAGGGGAAACGTCGGGTGTCAAACTAGCTTCAAACTTGGTTTGAACCGCAACGAAAGTGAATTTTGACGAAATAATAGTAAAAACTTATTCAAAAACTGCAAATTGATAGCCTGGAAAGTATTTACTAAATTATTATTGTACAAAAGTTAAGTTAAATACTTTTTAAAAAGCAATTTTTTGTATTATTAAACCAGATAAGCCAGAAAATAATAATAAGAACATGAATGAACTTAGGTTTTATCTTATTTTCTATAACGGGATAACTAAAATGGTTAAGTTCTTTTGAATTATGAAATTCTAGCTTAAAAATATTTGTTTGGATATTTTTTTAGAATCATGTAACTTAATTCCTTAACTCCAATCTCTAAAAATGTTTTCACTGGCGGGAGAAGAAATATCTAGTCATAGGTTTTCCGGGCCTCCAGAGATAACGCTCGCTTCGTTTGCATCCCTTTTCCTCCATTTTCCCCCACTAATTTCCTTTTTAGCGCCAAAATCTGTTGAATTTTCCGCCGAATGAAAAGCAGGCGGCTGGCGGCGGTGGTGGAAAGTGAAAACCAGCCAACCACCACCCACCAACCCCCGAAAAAGAAAAAAGAGGCAAGGGAAAGGGGTGCGTGAAGGCGGCGGGGAAGGAAAACTCCAACTTCGCTGCCAATGCCAAGCAGCGCAGTCGCCGGCACTCAGTCGCAGCCGACGTCGACGTCGCCGCTCGCAACGTTCGAACGGCGTTCGCAGGCCCAGTCGGGCACATTCACGCCAATTCGAATTTCGCTTTCAAACTGGTTGGTTGTGTTTTTGGCTTCTCTCTGCGTGTGCCGTTCGTAGGTGGAAAAAAGAAAACAGAAAAACAGCAAGGCCCGAAAAGCAAGAAGGCCGAAAATTATTTATCCTGCGTGTAAACCAATCGGAAATTTTGGCAGCCAAGTCTCGCGTTTTCCTCCTTTTCCTTTCTGTTTGCCGGCGAAAAGCAAAGCGGCAAAGGAGAGGCGACAAAAACAAACGTAAAAGCGAAGCAAAATGTGAAAAATTGCCGAACATGGCGCCGCGAGTGTGAACGAGAGAGGGACAGTGAGACAGAGCGAAGATAAACAATAGAAACAATTTTTGATACTTAACGTTCTACAACAACAATAAACTCAGCTCAGGTACAACAGCAACAACAAAAAATTACGAAGAAAAACAGACTGCATAAACGGGAATCTTTTCGAAATATTTTTGATACACACAGCAAGAGGTGTACGAGTTTTAAAAAAGCAATAAAATCGAAAGCAATGACAAAAAACGCACTCGGAAAATCAAGCAATTTAACAACAATCTAAAGCAGAAAAACTAAATGTTTACAGACTAAACCACACAAAAAATCAGCATTTATTATACAATTTATTAATCAAGTTATACAAAAAGTTTAGAACTCCAAAGCAAAACAGACTTTTGTCTGTAAAACCCAAAAAGTTCGCAAAAACCACAACAAATATCGGGCAGCCACCGAATCGACAGATCAGTTGAAAATAAAATATTCCGAAATCGGTTCAAAAATAAAACACTGGAAGCATTCAATAAATATACATCGCAGGCATTTATAGGCCACAAATCACAGCATAAATTCGCGAAAAAACCAACAAGCAATAATTTCAAATTCATTTTCTGGGCAAAATGCTGATCCGAAATAGAGATTGAAGATTTTCGGAGGATAGCGAAACCGGGATTCCTTAGCCGCAAAGAGTGCATTCTCAGAAGAAACATACAAATTTATGGCTCCGCGTCGCAACAGCAACATCAGCAGCAGCGGCAACAGCACCACGCAGCAGCAGCAGCAACACCAGCAACAGTTGCAGCAGCAACACCAGTCGCAGCAGCAGCAACTGCTGCAATTCTACGCGGAGAGCGCGAATTCTCCAGCAGTTCTGATGGCGCCCATGCAGGGAACCGGGGGCGTTGGCGGGGGCGTGGTCCGCTGCTGTCTCCCCAGCGGAGACTGCCGCAAGCTGGACGCCCTCATCCCGCTGAACGAGGTGTCCTTGGCGGACTGCGTCCGAGTGCTGTGCAACAACGAGAACTGCACGGCGGGCCAGTACATGCACCGCGAGTGCTTCGAGATGTGGGAGGCGGGCGTGCTGCAGACCCTCAAGGCCAACGGGAGGGCTCGCTCCTGGTCGGAGCGGCAGCGGCTCCAGCACCTGTGGACCAAGAAGGGCTACGAGCTGGTGCACAAGGCCTGCAGCTGCAAGTGCGGCAGGGGACAGCTGCGCAAGGACCTCGAGTGGGTGGCCCCCAGCTCCCAGGGAGTGATATACCTCAGCGGATCCGGCAACCGGGGCAACGTCAACGGAAACCTCAGCGAGGACGACGATAAGAAGAAGGGCAAGAAGAAGAGGAACCGCAACAACAACAACAGCAGCAACAACAACGGAGGCAACGGCAGCTCCAAAACCCCATTGAGCAACAACAACGGCAACAGCTTCGGGGGCCTGACCCCCAACCCGAATGTGGGGGTCATCGGCTCGGGATTGCCGCACAACAACGGGAACGCCAGCGGCGGCAACACCAGCAACGGAGCCTCCGACCTGCTGCAGCCCAGTGCGGTGGCCACCCTGAGCAACATCCTCAACCCGAACAATGTCCTGGGCCTGGACCTGCGGGCCAGAGCGGGCAGCCTCTCCTCCAGCGGAGCAGGCAGTGGCTCCACCTCGCCCTCGGCCTCGCAGTCCAGCGGCGAGATATCGGTGTCGCCCGTGCAGCAGTTGCTGCAGCAGCAGCAGCAACAGTCGCTGCTGATGCAGCCGCTGGGTCCCGCCTTCGGCAGCAACCTCCTGCAGAACGGACTGGGCCTGTCCAAGAACCTCCTAATCGCTCCCCAGCAACAGCAGCCGCAGCCGCAGAACCTGCCAGCCCTGGCCAACATCAGCAACTTCAAGCCTTTGGCCAGCTACGAGCAGCAGCAACTCGTGCAGCAGCAGAAGAACAAGGAGGTCGAACTCTATTCCGAGCGAGTCCGGTGAGTCCAGAATTTCAATTAAAATAAGTATCAAGAAATCTGAATGGGAGTACCAATTGGTTGCTAGGAACAAAAGGAAAGCCAATGCTAAACAAAATCCATATCTTTAGTGTTATATCTGTTAAAAAATAAATAGAAACATCGAAGGCCAGGGGGCAAAAGACGAGGAAGGGTAAAATGAGTGTGGCGAAATTCCCCAACATGTGGTTGGGGCACATCAGCATTTTCAATATTTATTCACAAAACTTTTATCAATTACACTGAGCGACAAGGCCAGTCGAGTGGCAAAAAGTTCTTGGAATTATTTCCACAGCTGCCGTTTCTTTAATTTCTCATAAATTTTCGACTAAAAATCATTTTGGTTACTTGCTAAGAAATGTATTCATAATCTAAGACTCTTTTGTTGCCTTTCTATTGAACATTTGTCAGCTATTTCTTTGCCAAGAACTCCACTAAGTAAAACTTTATCAGAGAAGAATTCCCATTCAGATATCAGAAATCGGAGTCATTGGTTCCTTTATCTTGTTGCACAGTGCTATCAACAATTGGCGCGTTTGTTTGCCCGTTTTTCGTTCGTTTGCCGGCTTCATATAGCTTATATAACCTTGATGCCTGAACAGCTGCAGAATACAGACAATATTTGCAAAAATATCTAATAAAATGCGATTGTTTATTTGAGAAATTTGCGAATATTTTCTCATAAAGGAAGTTGATGATTTTTATAGTTCCAGGACATAAAATTCTAAATATTCTCTTTTGATCTTTATCAAAGTGCTCTTCCATTCCATTTATTTTTTGTTTGTTGCTTTGGTAAAGACATTATATTTTTCTTCTTTTATTGCTGTCTCTTTCGATCGGCATATTTCCCCTTATTCATAACTCAAAAGAATAATATTGAAATTTATATGCTGCCAAATAGCAACAGAACATGTTTCGTATGGTATGTTTCTCACATGTGTTTTTGCTTTTATTTATTTTATGCTCATTTTTAATATTTCCGTTTTCCAGAGCAAAAAAAAGTTTATTTATTTCATCGCGATAAAAAACAAGAAGAGCCAAGAGAAACAGAATCAGAAAAACACAAAAAATTGGATCGTTTTTTTCTGTGTGTTGTTGTTTTGAACGCGATCTTCAGGTTTTTAGAACTCAACCCCTCGCCCTCTTTCTTTCTCTTTCACTCAGTGGTCTGCCATCTCTTTCTAAGCTGAGAACTTTGTTTTGCCTTCTATGGCATAATTCCATTCATTCTTCTGGTTTTCGCTCTCTATCTTTCTCTCTGTGTTCTGTTGTTGCCCACTTTTCAAGGCCACGATATTCGCTTTATTTTTTGTGTGTTTTCATACCCTGACAAAGAGTACTATACTTTTTTCCAGAAATTTAGGAATCGTTCAGTTATCAAATGCTCCTCTTAGCAGTCATTTACATAAAAAACTATATTTTGATAACTTGAAATGCGCTCATAAAAACCTAATTTGAGTAATGGTAGTATGGAGAAACCTATTAAAACAAATGAATGCTTACTAAACCTTTAAGAGTAAGTTAGCTTCGGGTTTCGTTTGTTTTTGTTAAATTTGATCTCGGCTCTATTTTTCTGTCTTTTTGCTTTTTGCCTGCAATTCTGACTCTTGCACTTTTTTTATACTTGCTTATCAGCATTTATTTTGTGATGATTTGCGTTTAATTCAAAAATAAACGTCCATAAAATTGTTTATCGCCTTTCGTTTTTTTATTTCCATTTCCATTTTCTTGTTTTGTTTGTGTTTACTGGCGTTTATTTTTAGCGCCACACGCGGCCCATTTTTATTTTATTTAATTTTTACTCAGTACTTTTTATTGTTATTGTTGTTGCTGCCACGATAAACAAACTTTTGCTGATTTAAAAGGTGAGCAAGAAAGCCAAAAAAAAAAAAAAGTTCTTGCCTTTCCCTTTAAATTGCCGTCTCTGTTTAATGAATGAATGTGTTTGGCTCCCTCTCTCTTTCTCTCTTACGCTCTTTTAACTTGTTTTGTCTGCCGGCATATTTGTGTTTTCTTTTTTTTTTGTATTTGGCGTCCAATGTCAAGGTTAAGACACATTTTATGTATTCATTTTCGGTGGGTGGATGAGGCGGAAGTCTGTTTTTGTTTTCGTGCCTTTTCCAGTTTCCCAACTTTTTTGCAGAAAGCTCTTCCTGTTCGCATCTCGCTCTCTCTCTCTCTCGCCGGCTGCACGTAATATGCCTAATTCCTAGGCCCAAATCTCTCACGTGGGCGGAGCATCCTCCCCCTTATTATTCGCTATTTTGACCCCATCTCCCAGTAATGGCGCAATACTTTCCCGAACGTTCGGAATATCGCTGATATTCGCGCGCACAACTGCAAATAAATTGCGAAAGGCACGCCGAGAATAGAAAATACAAATTGCAGCTACAATCCATAAAAACAAAGTAGCAACAAAGTAAGCGTCTTGCATTTGCATACCTAACGCAACGGGGGTCTAAAGGGTGTGACTAGTTGTGTTAAGATGTAACGGGTAAGAACGGGTATATGGGGAGAGCTACGGATATATATTAACAGATATAATATCTATATTTTGCAGTCATTAAAAGAACATAAGGTATTCCCCAGTCGTCTCCCAGAAGCACTGCATTATTTTTGTTTTTAGAGCGCCAGACAACTTGGGTAAAATGGTGTGAAAAACAAAACTAAAACGAAAATTAACAACTTTCGCACGAATTTTGTTGTTGCAAAGCGGGATAGCCAAATACCGGAATATTGAAGAGCGAAAGAGAGGGGGAGATATCCATATCGGTGCATAGTTTATCTTGAGGCTCGGGGGCTCCGTAGTAAATGCGGTAGAATTATATTCGCGAGGCACAGCGCGAATTCCATTCAAATGCTGTTTTTGTTTTTCTCGTAGGTTTTCCGCCCGCTCCCCTCCGTTTTCATAACCCCCGCAGTTTTGTGCTAATTGAGCACGTTCCAAAATGTGTCGTCTAGACTTGAAGCATAAATTTCTGCACTGTAAAATTTTTATTAACACGGAACCCATTACATTCATATCCATATCGATGACGCTCGTTGTTTGTTTCTGTCGATGTGGCTGACCGTATTGGAATAGGTTCTTTCTGGTTTCTATACAAATTTCGGTTAGGTTTAGGTTTCGCTTTTCTAGCGATGATAAACAAACAAAAGACGTATGAAGACGGGGCAGCGGAGCATGAAATGAAATGGTGCGACTTGGATCTCTATGGCTATATGCATACATTAGATTACAAAGAGCACTAAGAAAAATATATCTTATAGTTCGAAAAACTTCAAACTTCGGGAAACATTAATTAATGGAAATGATTCATAACTAATTTGTAGTATTTTCTTCTTGTGCAGTTCATGTATTTACATATACGGCCCATAAAAGACCTTCGAAGGGTGGGGAAAAAGAGCAATTAACGACCTTTTTTTTGGGCAGTCAAATTGAGGAAACATTAAAAGCTGCGCCACATCGCCGACACTTTTGTTCTTTGAAGCTTTGTTGCGGACACGCTGAGTGGTTCCATCACAACGGGTGATCACTGTGGCGGACTCCCCCACAAAATTTGTAACCGCAACCAAATCTGCAAAACCATTTGCAAATTAAAGCGCATAACGATGTGTGGGCAGAAAGAGAAATGTCGGAGAAAGGAAGGCAGTGGAGGGGGCAACCTAGGGAAAAGGAGCGGCACGCAAGGGGAGTTGGGGGAGCCGGGGAACTACTCACCTTTTGTTGAATATCAAATCAAGTATGCATTGCTTACTCGTTTTCCACTTGGTCCTCCGCCCTCACAACCGCAAAAGCTATTATTGAAATCTTTGCCAAAACGACACGCACACTGAAGCTTAAATAAACATATGCACATCGGGGTTACATTTACAGTGGTTGCAAAATATTATTACTAATTCAACATATCGGTTATATGTATAAATATTATTAATTTGGATTTAAAGGAAGTACCTTTTTCTTAAAACTAATTATGCCATTTTCAATTCCCCAAACTTGAGAAAACTATATCCTTAACCACTGTATCTGGTGCATTGCAGAAGTCCGCACACCCACACATCCCACGGGCGCCTATCGAACGGCGCATGACTCTCCGGCGGAAAGTTCCCTCGACGTCATTATTGTCGTATTTTCATTGCCAACAGACAATGCCAGGGCAACTCCATCTCCGCCTCTTTCCTTTTCCCCCGAATCCTCCTGCCGCACTTGCCACCCACATCCGTATCCACACATCCACATCTACGTATAGATATGAGCACACATGTGTGGCTCCATCCGCAGGCTTTTTGCCAACTTTAAAGGCTTCGTTGGCTCAGCAGTTTCCGTCCCCCTCTCCCTCGCTCTGTCCCACTCCCTTATGCAGAACTTAAATCTACACTGAAAATTATGAATGTGCTTTAAGGAACTAAAAAAGTTACCAAGCTTATATTTAACATAAGGCGTTAGAAAAACGGTTGCTTACTGGGCATATTTCTGTGAAGAACAAGTTCTTTGGTCATGTCGGAAATACGGAATATTTTTAGCAGTGCATTGCTCCCCCCTTTCTGTGCCCACTGCTTGCTGCACTGCTTTGCCAGCATGATGTCGTCTGTTGGTTCATAAGCCAAGCTTTGTGTGTGTGTGACGGTGTTTATCTGTCTGCCTCCCTGTGTGTGTGTGTGTGTGCTTTTAGGCTTTTGTGTTGGGCCATTCAGCCAAATGAGAAAGAGAACCCCAACTCCCCACCACCCCCTCTTCTTTCCACTGCAGGCTGAAATTGCAATCAATATTGTTGTTGTTGTCGAGCAGCTGCCAGACACAAAAATAAAACGCAACGTGCAAAAAAAAAGTGCAAAAAAGAGTGGAAACAGTAAAAACGAGCCTGGCGAAATGAAAGAGCAAGGATGAAAAAGGTATGGTGTGGAGTGGGCGGAGGAGGCGTGGATGAACAAGTTGAAAAGCGAAAAGTAAAACAGAAAACAGAACAGGAACACAAAACATGAAA